CTACGAAACCCAGCAGGACCAGAGACCTCACATTAGCCTCTCCTATAAAACTAGAGCAGGACCCCACCCAAACAAATAAGCACAAACAGAAACCTGTGTCTTCCCAGAAACATGAGAAGACCAGACATTCCCCGAGTAGCCAGGGCCCACGCCACACCCAGTGTGTCATCCTAACACTGAAAATGTGTCCCCAGAACAGAGTTCAAGTCCCTTCTGGACTGATCACTAGCTCTGTGACCCAAAGCCGCAGCTCCCAGCTCAGGTGAACGGGGACAAGAGTAATTACTCTGTAGAGTAGCTGGGGGGATTTATAACATGATGAACAATAATGGGAATCTATAGTAATAACAGAAATTATGAAAATGGAAAAAGGACAAGTAGAAGTAAAATAGAAACTTAATCCTCAAATACTTCTAAAACTTGCTTTGTGGGATTGACTTAACATAAAAATTGTTTACTAGAAACGTTGTGGGCAAACAAGAAAAGATAAATAGGAAATAGGGAGATTGATCTTTCTCAAAAGGGAAGGGCATTGAGGGATGAAGGTGGGAGGAAGGGGAGGGAAAGAGGAAGAAAAAAGGGATATGTGTTATGTACATGCACCAGCTCCTCACAAGGGGTGTGATTGTTATGTATTGCACACATGTACTAATAAATAAATAAAAACACACAGTGCACTCATCCCCTGGCTCTTTGGAATTCTAATGCTTAGCAGTACCTGAGCTATGTGTTTAAAGAAATGAGACATTAAAGACACATCGGTATACCCCAGTCTCTGTACACCTCCTCCCCAAACCCAACTCTAGGCTGACTTCTTCTTGGGCTCTCCTTCCTCCATCCTAACAGTCACACAGCCAACTTCCCTCTGTGTACTTCCTGCTTCCAGCCTGAAGATTTATTTACTTGTTTCCTCCCTGAGGCGGGAGACCCTGCCCGGCCTTCCACCACGGCCAGCTGTCTCAGAAGATGCTCCTTATTGAGGCTCGAGCTGACAGTAGTCAGGCCGGAGAAGAGTGAAGAGTGTTCCCACCGATGGGCAGCCTGGCGGACCACAACACCACTGGGTCCTCACACCTCTGAAAGGTAACCATGTTCCATGTTTTGGAAAGAGAGAAACCAAGAAGAAGGATCTGCCCTGGGTCCAGGGCTAATTAAGTGGCAGCACAGAATTTAAACGCAGGCTGTGTCCTTGCAGCAGATGGAGGAAGCAGGACCCTTTCCACTGCAATGTTTAAGGAACTGATAGTTAGTGACCCTGAGGTCCTAGGATTTTCAGGTGTGGACTCACAGCTGTGCCCTCCACAATCAGCTTTCTATTCATTCTTCATGGAATCTTAATTTTCAAAAGACCTTGTATAAGCAAGGGCAAGAAGCAAAAAGGAAAGAATGCCCAGGAATGTGGGATGGGAGTTTAACCTCTCGCATCCCACTCTCAGTTCCATCTTTGCTAATTTCTATGCATGAGGAGGTGCAGTCAGGAGACCTGGATTCTAGACATGACCTCAGCACTTACAAGCATGTGACTATAAGGAAGCAGGTTCTTCCTTCCCTTCCTAAAGCCTGTTTCCACATCCATGAGATAACAGCAATAATATCTTCCTTGCCTGCACCCCAGGGTTGTTGCAAGGACCCCAGCAGATAATGGGAGGACAGTAAACATGCCAACACACCCTCTGCATCTAGACAACCAGTGTGCTCCCAAGTCTTGGAAGTCGGAAAGGCGGGGCTCAGTAGCTGTCCTCCACAGCACAGAGCTCTGTGGACTTGACCTTCAGCAGTCCCCATGATCACCCGCTTTGTGAAGGACCCTTTAATGACCTTTCAACAGCCTCACAACCCTGATAATAGCTGAAATTATTCTACTTAGTACATGCCCAATACTATGTTGAGTATTTTGTACTTGTTTTTAACCTTGAATCATTAAAATAATTCTGGATGGTAAGTGTTGGTTTATAAACTAATGATACACAGTTTTACTTTTTGTGTTTGCTTTTTTATATGTTAGGTTCACAGGTTGATTTTAGTTTTATATCAAGAAAAACGAGAATCACAGAGTTTATAAAACAGAGCACTAGAATAGCTGATGTGTGGTGGGGTGAGTTCTTAATAACAAGGTGAGAAATTCTTTTCAGACATTGGGAAAGGCAGGCATTATTATACGTGTTTTACAATGAAGGAAACTGATGATCAGAGTGGTAATAATCTAGCCAAAACCACACAGGCAGTGAGTAGTCTGAGGCCAGAATTAGAGCCTAAATCTTTGTGGATTCCATGTCTGTTTAGAATCCTTGGCTGTGCCTGGCCTCATCATACCATGTGCCTTCTCCCTGTGTCTTCCCCAAAACTGGGTGTCAGACAGGTGGGCAAGGGGAGGGATGGGGATTGGTAGCCTGGACAGGCATGAGCCTTAGAGCAGGAAGTGCCAGGATGGTCTGTGTGATCATTCCGGGGAGGGTATCAATCCCGTAATACCCAGCAGTGACTCCAGTACACATTACCTCAGTGTCTACCCCTCAGGAACACTTGACAAGCTTGAGTGAGTGGAATGCCTTTATGGAATGTTTTAAAAACAGTAAAAAGAGCAACCCACTTTCAGGGGTCCCTTCTGTCCCCTCAGACAGTTTTTTTTCTGTCAGTAAATTCTTCCTACTCTTAAAAAAAGGTAAAAAAAAATGTAAAGAAATGAAACAAATACATGATTTATTTTGAACAGGGCAGGAAATGGGGAAAAACACAACAGAAAATTAGCCAAGGCTGCATTTATGTGATGTACTTATCCTGGGTTTTATGTGGGAAAGCCTAGCAGAACCACAGAAATTAAGGCAGGAGTTGAGGGAGAGGCTGGGGGGTCGCATTTGGGTTCAGTCCATCTTCCTAGTACCTAACTGCGGCTTGGGCCCCAAGAATGTAGGGCTTTGGGCAGTGTCCCCTGGCTGAAGGTCAACACCTCCTGACACACAGGCCCTGCCCCCAGAGCCCTCCCCCATCCAATGTTCCTTTCCAGTCTGGGATCCTGTGGAAGGACAGCCAGAGGGCTCCTCCAGTGCCAGAGGCTTGTAGCTACCTAGTCAATCTTGGAAAAGTGAGAAGACAAGAGAGAGATTTTTTGTTTGTTTGTTTGTTTTGTTTTTTGTTTTTCTCCGGTACCGGGAACCGAACTCACGACCTTGCGCTTGCCAGGCAGACGCTTTGCCGCTGAGCTAAATCCCCAGCCCCCAAGAGAGAGATTTTAAAAATAAAAATGCAATCTAATATTTTTAGAGTCTTGGAGTCTATAAAGCTTTGGGATGTACTGCTTCTTCTAGTTAGCTTGGAGTCTCAAGATAAACTACGAAGTAGAGACTCTATTACACCCTGTTTATTGATGGGGGACAGGAGCCCATGGAAGGTAGTGTATACTGATCCTCATCCATAGAAAATTAGAGAAGCACAGGGAAGAGGCAAAGTCCTGGGTGCAGCACAGAATGAGGTCCTCCTCACCAGGGAGGTGACCATGGACCTGAGCAGAAAAATTATGCACAAAATAGGTAAAGAAGGGAGACTCCAGGCAGATGACTTTGCAAAGAGTTGAGATCCCTAGGTAAGCTGGAGAGGTCCACAGGAGCAAGATGACCACAGGGACAATGACAGCAGCCCACACCTATATTTTCCTTATTATATGCAGATACCGTCAAAACACTCTTCTAAGCAGTAGTCTTCATTAATTCTCACACTTTTCTTGTAAGGTGAATGCTTTTTACAGATGAGGAAACTGAGGCCCAAAAGAAGTAGCTTGCTTCTAAGGTTGTATAACGATCTTGTGTTACTTTAAGAAGGATGAATTTCATTCTGAGAGCCAGGAATGTGCGCGCGCGCGCGCTCACACACACACACACACACACACACACACACACACACACGCAGAGCTGGTAGGGCCCTGGCATTGGTGGGTAAGAAACTGTCTCTCACAGACATGCCCCTCTACTTCCTCTACCTATAGGGCCAAAATCATACACTTCCATCTGCGTACCTGCCTTAAGAATTGCTGGAAAATTAATGAGGTAGAGCCCTGGGTCTCCTTCATGTGCCAAACAACATCCTTGTACTACTGTGGTGCACATTAAAAGCTGAGCTATAAAATGTGCTTTGGCAGAGGACCTGGGAATAATTATAGCTTGCTAATTATTGTTAATTTTACCACAGCTTTGGAACTCTGAACTTTCTCAGTGACTCAAAAAGAGATTGCAACCCCTCTGTCCTACTAAAGGGGCCACACAATGGCAGACCAGCAATTTTTCACCGGTCTCATTTTTTCTTGTGCCACTCACATGGGTCCAGAGAAGAAAAAGCAGTCATTTCCTCTCTTACAATTACACTGTACACAGAACCCCATACAGTCTTGCTGGCTCTTTCAAATTTGTTTTTCATCTCTGTCTACTAAGCAGACATAAATGCTGTGTGTGTGTGTGTGTGTGTGTGTGGTATGTGTGTGTAGAAAAGAAGTGTTTAACATAGATTTCATACACTGAACACCAGGACATCTAGGTTGTACCCGTGATATGCTAACAGAACCGCTCGCTAACTTTTCTTCAGAGTCCCCTACAGGCAGAGGGCTGAGACCCCTTCGGGAATCTGAAGGGGCAGCGCTAGGGGAGCTCAGGTTCCCGGCGCACCTGCAAGACCCATCAACCGCGCAGGAGAGCCGCCTGGCCCGGGATAAGCGTGAGGCCCAGATAATGTAGGCTCGGGAAACATCTGCTATGAGGAGGGCGGCGGGGGACGAAGAGGGGAGTGGAGGAGCTCGGAGAAGGGGCTTCAACATGCGGCGAGGGGGAGAGAGTCAGGGGCTGCGGAGAAACTCGCCCCCGTGCGGGCGGGCGAGGAGGGGCGTGGCGGGGCCGGGCGGGGTGCTCGGTATCGGCGTCGCTGGGCACTCGGTCGGAGGAGGCGGGGCAGCGTCCCCGGCCCAGCCTATCGCGGGCGGCGTAGGGCAGGCTGCGCCCTCGTAGGATTGGGCGTGGGGGTGGCACCGAATTCCCCGGGCACGTCGCGGGGCCGGGCGGGTCGAGGGCATAAGAGCACGGGTGCGGCTGGCGCCAGACTCCCCAGCCCGCAGCATGGCCCGGCGTGGCGGCCTCACGCCGCTCCTGGCGCTCCTGGCGCTCCTGGCGCTGTCCGCGGCGCCGCGTCCGGCGGGCGCGCAGCACAACTGCACGTGCGCCACCAACAAGCTGAGCGTCTGCGGCCCCGGCGGCCCGGGCGGCAGCTGCCAGTGCCGCGCGCTGGGCTCGGGCGTGCTGCTCGACTGCTCCACGCTCACCGCCAAGTGCCTCCTGCTGCAGGCCCGCGCGCGCGCTCCCCCGCGGGGCCGCTCGCTGGTGTCGCCCGGGCCGCTGGCGATCGTGGACAACGACGGCTTCTACGACCCCGAGTGCGACAGCGAGGGCCGCTTCAAGGCTCTCCAGTGCAACGGGACGTCGGTGTGCTGGTGCGTGAACTCGGTGGGCGTGCGCCGCACCGACAAGGGCGACCGCGGGCTGCACTGCCCCGGCGTGGTGCGCACGCACCGCATCCTCATCCACCTGCGCCACAGCCCTGCCGCCGAGCTCAACCACTCCTTCCTGGACGCCGAGCTGCGGCAGCTGTTCCGCCAGCGCTACGGCCTGCGCGCCGCCTCCCTGCACGCTGTGCGCTACGCCGCGCCCACCATCCAAATCGAGCTGCGGCAGAACGCGTCGCAGAAGGCGCCCGGCGACGTGGACATCGGCGATGCCGCGTACTACTTCGAGCGCGACGTCAAGGGCGAGTCGCTGTTTCCCGGCCACCGCGGCTCGGGCGTGCCAGTGCCCGGGGGGCCCCTGCCCGTGGAACACACGCTTATCTACTACCTGGACGAGGAGCCCCCCGAGTTCACCATGCGGCGCCTGACGGCAGGCATCATTGCCGTCATCGCGGTGGTCTCGGTGGCTGTGGTCGCCGGCGTGGTCGTCCTGGTGATCACCAACTGGAAGAGATCGGGGAAGTACAAGAAAGTGGAGATCAAGGAGTTGGGGGAGTTGAGAAGTGAGCCAAGCTTGTAGGTACCCGGTGGGGCACGGACGGGTGGGGAAGCAGACGCCGCAGCATCCCAGGCCACGGGGAGCACCTGCTTCCTTCTCGGCTGGAAGGAGGCAGTTCTCCTCTCAAGCCCCCGCCGCCCTCGCCAGCTCCCCACTGGGCAGGTTTGATGGATCCGGGTCTCAGCGGCACCTATTTTTGACTTACACCGTGAAGGACAAACTTCTAAAAGTCCTTCTCTTTGGGTCCAAAGTCAAGAAACAGGACTGAGTTAGGGAAGGATGGTGCAGGGACAGCTATAAGAAGCAGGTTTCTGACAACCCAGCGTCCTTGGCAAGTGACGGGGCTCGATCTTCGAGGCTGTCGTGGGTTTAGATGGATAGGGCGCTGGTGCTGCCTTAGATTAGGTGATTTGATGAGCTCTCCCGAATCAGGGCCTTCTCTGGGAAAAGAGGAGCTCGGTATTGGGGAGCTGGTGTCGGAGGCCTGTCTACCATCTTTCACGTTTCCCACGGTGTACTTATCACCTAGAAAGAATCCTGTCTCCCTGCCTGAATACATTCTAGGTATCTTTGTGGTCTCGCTGCTCAGCAGAGTCGCCTCCTTAGCTCGCCCTGATTATGGCTGATAACAGTAATGTTTTCTTTTGTAAAATGTTTGTACATATGTCGACTTTGATAATGCTACTGTGATTTTTTAAAAACATGAATTTAATAAAATATGGGGGATGGAGTTTGTGCAAAACCTCCAGAGTTACACCATTTTGGTCTCCTCTGTCTAATTTCCACAAGCCCCGCCCCCCGATTCTAGCACTCTTTCAGAACTGACCATTTCATATGGACGCTCTGGTGTTTCCTAAACCATCCTGACTGCTGAAAATGCTGTTCTGCTAAGATTCTTTGGAAACCTCCTTCAGACTGCAGGGGGTGGGCCTGAGGGAGGAGACAAGGAGACAAGAACCAACTGCCAGCACCTGGGGGGTCAGGCACTTTGGCTATCCCCAGCAGGGCTCCTCACTGGTGGAGAGAACAGCTAGGGAATTTGTTTCCCAAGATGGTTCTCTTTCAACTTTAAATTGCTGCACTAGTTCCAGGCTGTGACTCCCTGTCCTTTCTAGCACCCAGGGTTGGAAAGGTACTTTCTTATGTATAATGTTTGAGACACCAACTTGCTGGAAACAGTAGAGTGTTGATAAGACCTGAGTTCAAATCTTGTTTGGTTGGCTAGGAAGTCACCTGACTCCCCTTTTTCTTCATCTGTTAAATGAAAGTGCAAATCCCTCTGTCTCACTGTGGTGGAGATGAAATGAAGTAATTGAGATGTGAACAGTCTGGGCAATTTCTGAGAGTTTAGTACACTGAAAATTTTCTCTGTTCTGAATTGTATCCCTGACACACCACAGAACACAGGTCTGAAGAGGTTGACCAAACGCATGATCACAGGTCCTCTGCATGCCAAAGCCAGGGTTCACAGCACTGGCTTTGACTTCCCAGCCCAGGTGTCTGTCAGGCACGAGCAAGCGGAGACGCCTTTCTTGCTCATTTCCTCCAAGCCCCTCATGCCGTTATTTATTTATTTATTTATTTATTTTTTATTTTAAAGATAAAAGGAGGGAAACATTAACAGACATACAACATTTTACAACATATTGCAAGCACAGTACAGACAATACACAGTTACAAACAAAGTGGTAGGGAATTAACAATGGTTGTTGTATTACATATTGATATCTTCAAAGTGGCTTCTCATGAAAACAGATAGAGACATGCAACACTGGTCAACCAAAGACTCATTGACAATTTCTTTCAGCATAGAAATTGCCTGTGCTGCAGATGAGACTCCTGCACTGGCTACCTGCAGGGCTTTTTAGCCTCCGCCTCCAACATCTGCCTCCCTCCCAACTCCCTCTGCTCTGCTTTGCCCTTCTGTCTCTGCCTTGGAAGGAACGTGAGAAGCAGGTATGGCCACTGCAGCAGGTCCCAGCTTGTCTTCTGAGTCGGCAGGAGGTTCAACAGGTTTCACTGTGTAAGTTACCAGGGCTTTCTCCATTCTTGCTTTTTCCTTCATTGGGGGAATTTGTGAAATCACCCATCCCCCACCACCACTTACGTAGTTTTTTCCTTATCTGTCCAAGTAGAATGTTACAGCTAGAAAGGCCGTATACTCCAACACACACTCCTTCTACAGATGAAGAAGGTGAAGCCCAGATGGAAGGGATTTGCCCAAACCAGGCAGAGAATGGCTGAGCTGCCTAAGAACTAAAACCTGGCTCTAGGTAGCTTTTCCTTCCACCGTCTCCCTGGGGAGTCTCCTCCTTACTTATTTTTGGGTTAATGCTGTTCTTAAATTCTGTCTATTCTTTACCTTTTGAATGTCACTTACAGGAGGGAGATACTTTGACTAAATGTAAAGTGGACGAGCTTTGAAGTTCCCTGGCTGTGGTTTTCCTACCTAGAAAACAGGCACAGTTTTATCTTAAGATGCTGTACTTTAAAGATCAGACAGAAGATCTAAAAAGATTTACTAGGTATTCAGCGAGTGATCACTCTTGGTTGAACTATAACATGTTACCTAAGAACCTGAGGAAACATTAGTAGCACTGGTTGGACTCTTCCCATGGAATGTGAACAGAATGTGCGCCCTGTTTTTCACCAGGGCATCTGCACCCTGGACTCGTGCTTTGAGAGCATTGAAGGTGACCCTGCAAGCCACCCACTGTGTCTTGAGGACATGGACACCCGCTGTGCCCAGTCTGCCCCACAGCACACCGATCTTCTTACCTTTCTTTTTAAACTACAGGTTGAGCGGCACTGTGGTGAAAATCTAAAATCCCAAATGCTCCAAATTCCGAAACTTTCTGAGTGTTGACCTGGCATCACAAGTGGAAATTTCCACACCCGACTTCATGTGACATGTCATGGTCAAAATGCAGAAGCACTGAAAACTGTGTAAACTTGCCTCCAGGCTGGTTATAAGGCATATGTAAAACCTAAATGAATCTCATGTTTAGGCTAGTCTCATCTCCAGGATATCTCACTATATACAAGTGTTTCAAAATCCTCCCAAATGAAAAACCTGAAATTCTGTTCTGGTCCTAAGCATATTGGATAGGAGATTCTGCCTGTAGTTTGGTATTACTGGGTCTCTGTAACAATGTTTCATTTTATTTTAATTTACTCTTTTACCCTAATTGGTCTGAGTGACTATATTGTTCCTGTAAGGAGGAAATGAGAGACTGAGAAGTTCAATGGTTGTTGTTGAAAGTCACACATCAGATGGGTGGCATGCTGGGGTCAGAACTGAGGTGAACTGTCCTTCTTACCCATGGTCTCATCACTGGACTGAAAGGGACTGCCTGATTGTCATTTATGAGATAGCAGGCCAGGATGTATTTGTTTTCTCTTGCTGCTCTAACAAATTGCCATAAACTTAGCAGCGTAAACAACACACCTTGGTTATCTCCCAAGTCCAGCACAGGTCTCACTGGGTTAAAACCAGATGTCAGCAGGGCTTGATTCTTTTTGGAGGGAAGAGGGGAGAACGTTTCAGATATGGGAGCAAGAGCTGCATGTTCTTGCTGGCCAGAAACTGAGGGCTTTTCTTGTTGTGCAGAGGTGGCCCACGTCCTCCCTTCATCTTCAGAGCCAGGAAAGCAGTAACTCTGTCTTCCTCACCCCTCTGCTTTTGTCCCATCTCTTTCTGACCACAGCTAGGAAAGTCTCCCCATTTGTGAGGGCTCTTTTTATTAGAATGAGTCCACCAAGATAATTTAGGTTGAGACGGTTCTGTGTCAAAGTCTCCAGCTTAACCATATGTGCAGAGTCCCTTTGCCATGTTGGATGATGTGTTCACTCACAGGTTCTGGGATTGACATGGATATCTTTCATAAGGGAGAGCACTATTCTGTCTATAACAGAGGATGATTCTGGATCCATGCTCTTAAGCAGTATGTTATACTGCTTCTGTGAAAATGCTAGGCAAAGTCGATTTTTCTATTTAGTCATTGCTATCTATCTATTGAATGTACCCTCCTCTGACTCATATGTTGATACCCCACAATGTGGTGGTATTAGTGGGTGGGGTTAGGGCCCTTGTAACAGAGGCCCTAGCTAGACCAGTGCCTCTGTCACCATGTGAGAACACAGCAAAAAGATGGTCATCTATGCAGCAGACCTCATGAGACAATCTATGGGCCTCTTGATCTTGAACTTCTTAGCCTTGAGAGCTCTACTAAATGCATTTCTGTTGTTTATAAGCCACCCAGTCCAAATAGATTTGTTACAGTTACAAGAGAGAGATGTTTCCTGTACAGCTCTCTCCTCTGTTCCCCTTTTTAAACACATCTTTTCAAGGAGGAAAATGACCTCCAGGAAGAATTATTCATATATTTCATACATAGGGTCATCTAGGATGTAGGTACGTAGTAAGCACTCAGGAGGGGAGTGTTGAATTCAGCTAGTGTCAAAGGTTGCCAGTGACTGAGCACAGCACATGTCCTATCACTGTCTTCATTATCTCACACATTTCCAGCAGCCCCACAGATGTGAGGTACATGCTGTCATTCCTGCTTTACTGATGAGGAAATAAAGCATTAAATAAGAAGTCACATGGCTGATAATGAATACGGTTTGAGTTCAAATCCAGGGATGCCCTCTTCCAGAGACTCTGCTTTTACTACCACAGCCTGCCACATGCAGGGCACAGTCTGTTATCAGATGCAGGATCGAGGGGAGTTTGCAGATTCTTTGTGTCATGAAAAAATATCTGAGCAGGACATTCCGGAAGAGCAGCAAGAGTAAGATTTATTAAAAAGGGCAACAATAGCAAGCAAAACAGGAATAACCATAGGGTACTGATCAGAAGTAAGTGGAGGGAAGAGAGTGACTCCCGCAGCTCCAGTGTTTCTAACTGTACTATTACCAGGATCACTGATGAATCTGTCTATGTCCCTCTGTGACACATTATTCCCAGGGACACCTCAGCACTTCCTGGTGGGGCCTTCTTAGGGTTCCTCTTACAGGATTTCCTACTTCACTCCTTGATGCTGCTGGTTTATCCCACAGTAGCACAAAGATGCCCTTTCTCTCAATTTTCACACAAGGTGGGAATGGGCCAGTGAGAAAAGCTCATGGTCCCAACAGGGGCAGCTACTGGGTCTTCTAAGGTCCTTGGATTATGGAAGGATTACAGGTGCAGATTAATAAGAGTTATGGCACACTTGCATAGTTGACTTGAACTAAAAATCTGGGTATAAGGGCAAGAAGGGATTGATTTATTCAACAGCCATCATCTGTAAAATAAGTGTAATATGAGAATTAGTCAGATTACAGCAGGGGTCTGAATTGGGTTGAAATTGGGGTTAGGGCCCTTGTAACAGAAATTCATGCCCCCAGAATTCATGCCCGCTATGACCCATGAGTGTGCCCTTATTTGGAAATAGCATCTTTGCAGATGTAATTAAATAAAGATGAGGTTATACTGGATTAGGGTGGCTCAGTCCAGTGGCTGGTATCCTCCTAAGAAGGGGATTTTGACACATGGACACACTCAGGGAGACAGCCACAGAAGGGAGCAAAGACTGCAATTAATCTATGTCCCAGGTAGAGGAACACCAAAGATTGTCAGTAACTCCCAGAGGGAAAAAGGTAGAAGAAAGAAATTTTTGCCCAGAGCTTCAGAGAAAACACGGTCATACTGACACCTTGATTCTGGTTTGCAGCCTCCAAACCCATAAGAAATTAATCTCTGTTGTTTTAATCCA